TGATCTGCTATATCGTACCACTCAAGTATGGTAGCATAACAGTAAACAAGAATACAAATTTTAATATGCTCGTGTGTAGATGAGTATTACAAAAAAAACGAACAAGGAAGAACCCGTTTCGTCGACATTGTATATTTTCGGAGCAGTCAAAGCATGATCGTCAACAAGTTTTTCTAAAATATTGAAAAACTCCTGAACATTGCTTCTGTTGAAACCTTTACACCATGCGATCGAAGCTGATTCTGGTTGTCTCAACGAAAGTTGTGGATGGCGACTCATAAAGCTATAAAACCATTTTTTTCCAGTCATCCTTGTGATTTTATTAAAATTATCTTTAAGACCATTGCGTTCAGCGAATTCAAAGGCAGCCTTTCTTACTTCTCGAATAGTCACTCCAAAAAAATTGACTCTAGTGTTAAAATATGCTTTACCAAGTCTTCCTCTATCTCCGCAGAAAAAGTACAGGATCGACGTATTATTTTTTTTGATTCATTGGCTCTAACATTATAGGACTTTAAATGCCTCCTAAATGTTGGCTTTGGGATATTGTATTGGCGACAAACCTCATTAAAACCTATGTTTACCTCACGAAATACATTTGAAAGCTGCTACACACAGTGCCGGCGGCAATGCCGCCGAGTTTATGCCGAGCGGCTATGCCGCCGGCAATACAAGCCGCGCAAAGCCGTCAAGCATCATTCCGGTTGTGACAGTCACATAGAAAGCTAGTGAAGTGCTGCATTTCTGGGATTCCATAATATATAATTTTCATGAAATTTTTCAATTAAGAGCAGCACAGCTTCGTCGTCCAAATTAAACGACATTTTAATTTGTTTAAACACACAAACCGCACAACACTACCGCTCGAATGCCAGGAACGAAGTGACGCCGGCAAGCCGCGTAACCCGCCGGCACACCACGGCGGTTCCTTTGCGCGGCAAGGCCGGCGGCTTTGTATGCCGCCGGGTGTACGGCGGCTTAGCCGGCGGCCCTACCGCCGGCACTGTGTGTAGCAGCCTTAAGGCCGCTTTCATGTCCGCTTCAGACCACTGTCCGTACTTTCTCTTTTCATTTAGCTCTCCCATTATCTATAAAAAAATAAAAAGGTAAAAAAACTGTTACCACAGAGCTTCCCTAATCGTACCAGTATAAATTGCCTTAATCGTACCGGTACGTTTTAGGCAATCTCTAATGGTACGATCAAGGCAACTTTACACCAAATAAATAAAGATAAAGTTTTTCTGGAAATTATAGAAATAAGGTTATGTTTAAAGTTATCAAAAAGTGTATAAAAGTTGTTAATCTTAAAGGCATACAATTGATTTTAGGCTTAGTCAACTAAAATATCCAAAACTACTTACGGTAGATCAACCAAACTTTATATCACTTTGCCGCACAAAATAAAACGTTAAATATGTCGGGAGCGATACGCACTACTGTCCAACTTTTGCTGGTATTACTGGTTGCCAACCTTAGGGTTTCTAATTGTGGCGAAAGATGTTTTACACATAAGCGTAATATCTGAAATATCGACAAGGTACGATTAAGGAGCCAGTACGATATAGGCGACTTTCCCCTATTAATATCCATATATTTAGCTTTTTGGAAGTCATGAATAGTCAAATTTGTTTTGGACAAAGGCAGTAAAAACTTCGTAGACAAATTCCAATGAAGGATGATAATTTTCAATTTTCTGGAACCAAAGGGCTTACGCAATGGACTAAGTTTGATTGCTGTGATTCAATACATGATTCAACTGCATCGTTTCGAGATATGAAAAGATATCTATAAGATCAGAATGTAGGTTATCAACTTGTGACGGTTCCAAAAAATTATCACGATCTACGGGTTTCCAAACTACGTCTGGAAGGTTGAAATAAGTATTCTAGTCGGAGCTGAGCGAATGTTCGATATTGGGAGGGAGATATTCAACACAAATCAAAATTTGGTATAATGTTCAAAATATGACTTTGGGTGATGGTAATATTTATATAAATAAGTATATTAAATAGGACCCCATCCATAAATTATTTGTATCAGACTTTTATTATGAAAATAAACATTTATACAAACATATATTGGCAAAATGATTTTTCGCTTCACTCAAAAATTAGATGATTTACACCGTATATCTATGAATACCTAAAAATGTATCTAAAACAAAACAGTACTAAAAATAATAAATACATACGACGTACAGTCATTCACATTACTATTAAAGCTTAACTTTGAGCTGCTGAGTATAGAACCAGCTTCGGAATGGTAAGTGCGCAGTGTTTTTATGAAAAGATACAAAACTCGACCATAGTAAGTATGCGTCCATACTGAATAGGCGGTGACTGTGACCTAAGGCGGGCGCGGCGAGCGGCGGCGTGTGGTGCCCACAGAGACACGCGACCTCTTCTGCTGGTTGGACGTATTATCAGACGTCCCAAACTATAAACGGCGATTTGGTATTTTTACTAGACAGTCAGATCCTGAGATGTGAGGTGTTGAACATCCGAGATGGTGTGCACGAAATGAATAAAAACAGAGAAACAACTGTTGAATTTTTTCATTTGTATGAAGTATTGAGATTATAGCCTACCAAATTTTTTGAGTTCACTCGAATGTCCGTTTGACTACATCCTAAGTAAAATATCTGTGCTGCGGATGTTCACTTTGGCAAATAGGTGGTTTAGTTTAAATTGCACTTATAAACAATTCAGTATCCGCCATTACAATTTTCTACTCATGCATACGCCGAGCGACAAGACCGAACTGGTTTGTTACCGCCGCAACCCCGCGTTAGGTCGCTTGCTGATTAGGCCCGTAGTGTGGCCAGAAATCGCGGAACAGGAACGTTTGAAAACTACGCGCGCTTTTTCGCTGGGTCCCTCCGCCCAAGGCTTCCGCCTCAGTCACTACACTATGGACGCAAAGGCGCGTTTCATAATGTTTGATATTTCGCGCCCGTCATCGCTACTGCGCTAGGCTCGCAATATGGATGCACATACTAAGTAGAGCTCACTACAGTATCACTTTTTAATATATGTCATAAGCGTCTAGAATAAAAAAATGTGTTACAGGAGAGGTGTTGCTCTCACTTTCTGGCAACTGATTTATAAATGGCACAACAAAGCTTCAAGCAAAGTATGAGGTCTAAGGAAGACATAATGACATAATTGCGTACGCTACCACTAATTGGTTAAATTTGCCATACTTAACAGTTCAGTTTCACATTGTTTTAGCTCTATTTTGCTGAACAAACTTGCTAACACATTTCTGAATTTGCTTTCTTATATCACATGTTTGTTGTACCATAACCAAAAATATAAATCACAACGAAATCACCACGGCCTCCACATATCACCATTATCGGTACTACTTCCTTCTTTGGAACATGAAGGTCCTTCAATTTTATAACCTTCTTTCGCTGTCATTACTTTACCAGTCTCTTGTATGACACTCACAGGAGTGACCATGTGTGTCTTGATCATCTTCTGAGGTTGAGCTATGGATAGAAGACCTGGCTCCTCAGAATATTTTCTTTTGATTCCTTGTATCACAGCATTCTCCTCATAATGAGCAGAGTCGTCTTTCATTTGAGCTTGTCGGTACCTTTCTGACTGATTGGTGATGACACCAAGTGGTTCTGGATGCTTCTTTGGAGAAACTAGCTTCTTCTGCATCGGGAACTTCAGTGTCTTCAGCTCCAATGGTTGACTGAATCCGTGTTCTAACGTCATGGTGGAAGATACTTGAGGCACTTGGTGATCGTCACCAAATTTCCTCTTTGAAGGTAGTACCGGTCTGAAACCATGTGGCGAGGGGTTTCGAGTTTTCAGTTCTTCTCTACCAAGCGGACTAACTGGAGGACTGGTTGACTTGCTTTCGGTTGAAGGTATCACAGCAGCAAAGGCACTTGGTCTTTGTACGGTGGGGAAGTATGGAAGATTACTGGAGTTCGGGACAAGCAATGCTAGTTCACCACTTGGTAGCCTGCTTGGGATAAGTTGTATTCCTTGTGGTATCTGGATTCTAGGATTATTATTCTGGTCCCCCGTAGAACTACTTTCTGATGCGGAAGATACACCAGCATATATCCCATTTCCTGATAGAAACCCTAGGCCTGGAATATTTAGCTGGGCGACGTGTTCTATGCCCCCAATGCATTTTAGAAGATGGCTGTTGACTCTTTGTTTCATCACAGGCTCCACACCGTCCATCTGTCCAAGGTATCTGTCGATTTCTGTAGCACATTCGTTAAAGCCGTTTTTGAACTTCCTCAAAACGGTAGGGTCGGTTGCTATGCCCATAGCCAGCTGTTGCCTTTGGACGTTCTGGAGGTGCTTTACAGCCATTTCCAGGATGTCGGCTTTCTCCAGTTTCGAGTGACGAGAAGGCTGAAAAAGAAATAGCGGTCAACACAAAATTCCAAAGGACTGAAAGTATTCACTTGTTATACACAAACCGGCTACATTGTCTTCTGCTGTCGTCACTATAGATAAAAGGAACTAAATTTCCAAAATCTTAATGGCACGTGGTTAGGTTTTCTTACTGGAATGATTATAAGATGGTCAAAATAGACCTCCGAAAAGAAATACTCTATAGTCGGCTACCAAAATGGCATCGTATCCTGTCTTAGAGTATGTCTAGGCCTGCGCACAAATATGCAAGGACATAGGTACCATAGTAGCAGTGGTGCCACTCTCTTCCATCTTAGTACCAAAGTATAGTCTCCCTTACTAAATGATTTTACTTGGAATAGAACTGGTGTTTGTACGTGGAGTTCTGGTTTTCCAAAAAGTTGATACTTACATCCTTGTTCATTGCTTCTAGAATTAGGTTTTTGATCTCGTTTAGACAATGGTTGATCCTAGCTCGCCTCCTCTTCTCCATAATAGGTTTGTGGGTCTTCCTCAGCTCAGCTTTTGACATCGTGGTCTGAGGTTCCTGAGACTTGCATTCAAATTCGTCTTCGCTAGTCAGTGACATTTTCCAACAAGAATCCAGTTAGACTATACCAAATAGTCTTTGAACTCTCTTGCAGGTACTTGTCTGGAAAAGAATCGTAGCTGTAATACTCTATGACAAACATTTTTCTAAATTATATCCTTAAAAACAATTGGTTGGAGCTTAAGTTAAAGTCGTTGGAATTTTACCTTTTCTTTAACCTTCTTTGAATACCTAAATATTTGTTTTTTAAATCTCTTCCGATAACGGTGTTTGACATATCATTGGTAGTACTTATGTGATTTTGTCTATAAATAAAGGATCACGTTATTTTTGTTACGTCAGACGAAATAGATGCGCAGCAATTTTACAAAGCAAGATTTTTAAGCTTAGATATTGATGAAACTTCCACACAATGTCACTATGATGCCTGTACTTTTTGAAATTCGCTCCAATAGCTGCGGCGCTGGAAGGGTCTATCTCAGTTTTTTGGCAGTAGTATATTTATATGCTTCCAAACCCGGTAATTTGCCGTTCAAACTTAGAATGATGGACAAATATGTTCGATACGCGTCTCGTCCTGGGTTGACCGGAACCGCAGTCTCCCCTAAGTGTCATTCCGTCACTGACCCGCTCCCGAATGGATTCTCAGAGCGGTTAAGTATGGGCGGACGAGCAACGTTGTCAGATGGGCGGTACTATGATAAGGCAGGGAAAAGATATTTATGGACTAATTGCGTGGGTCTGTTTGACTGACTTGATCCGTTTACATGTTCGTAGCTAATTTCAACGTGTGCCGAACATAATCCTTTTTGAACTGACAGCGTTGCGTGGGAAGTGCAGAGTCAACATACTTGACGTCATTTTTTGCGGTCTTTCATGCGACCACTTGACTTGATTTACAAGCTACTTGAACTGAAATCAAGTCAAGCTCAAGTCATGCATTTCAGATATTAGAATCTAATATCAGTTAGTTTTTACGCCTGTCTGTCAGGTATTTAAAAATTCAAGTAGCCTTGATATTACTTGATAATTTTTGTAATCTATTAAATTAATTAGAGATAATGGAAGTGACCGATGATCCAATTTTGAGCCACACTATTATAATGTAAAACAAGAATCTAGCTTTCCATCAAGTATCAGGTAGTTTGAAAATGCCTTACCTCAAATCAGAAATGAAGTCAAATCCAGCATTAACGTCTCAAGTAAATTTATTTAAAAGTTATGTCAAGTAATTTATGACAATATCAAACTACTCGACTTGTTGAATCACTAGTCATTATTTTTGCCTCTGGAGTTTTCGGAGTTATTAATGATAGAATATAAATTCTTTTATAAAAAATCATTTAAGGGCTCAATCAACGGAGTTTTATGAGTTTGGATCCAGCTTTCTTGACACGCGCAGTCTCCAGTGCAACACTGTCATTTATATTAGTAGTTTTGAATTGACAAAACGCGTGATGCCACTTTACACTTAGCGGCTTCCGTTCTCCAAATGAGTGACCATTGACACCTCCCGTCCCCCATCCTAGGAAATTATTTGGCAATGCCGGTATTCATAATTTTTGTTTTTGTTAAAAAGATAATAAGATCCAAATGTATTTATTCAGCAAATCCCTTAAACAGAATTTTCAAAAACCAACAAAAAATCCAAATTGCAGTTTAAGTTACTTTCAAAGTAGCGTGTTACTTCACAGATATTTTATGAGACAAACATATCTACTTGTCTACTATCTAACCGAAATGTGAATCGTCAAGGTCGATAAAGAAAAAATAATTACATTTTGACTTACTTTTGTATGAAACGATGATGCAAATGCAGAAGAATGTTGGCTGGTATATCCAAAAACTGACACAACACAAACACCAAAAGTTCAAGTCTTTACAAAAGATCTACTATGCAGTACTACCGAGTACAACCTCCGGTTTTTTACCATGGAGGCTCACCATTTCCGTCGTACCTGCGTGTGCGAGCAAGTCAGTGGTTTTTGATGGAATGATCCTCCATTTCGGAAAACCTTCGTAAAATTCCAATGCAGCGTGGGAATTCGTCCTTTTTACCCCCACCACAACAGCTCCGTGGATGGTCAGAGGGTGCCCACGGTTCCCGAACTTCTTGTCGCAGTGCCGGTTGCAAGTGCCATAGGCGTGTGTTACCATGGGTCGTAGGGTAAGGGTAGGGGTATATCTGTCTGTCCTGATGGGGTAATAAATGCCAGGTCAATATCGCTTTTGCTATTGAGATACGAAGGGCCTTTGCTCGGGATAGTAAATCATTTGCGATGATGTAATCATGAAATGGCATTTGTAACTAAAATATGACGCCAAGTGGAGAAATAGCAGTAACAAATAATTATTCCAGATTTCGCTTCCCTCAACTAAAATTTTACATCGAAGGATGAAACGACAGATTGAGGCATTACTGATACCAGAAGTAGCAGTGGTGTCATCTTTGTGCAAAGGAAGAGCATATTTTCAAGAAAGCAAATTATTATATCATTATAAAAGTATGTAGGTGGTCCAAAGATTTTTTCAAACAAGGTACGGATACACAGTGCTTCTCAAACCCATTCCCCAACATATGATTTTAGCGTAAAGGTAAAGATTGAAGATTTCAAGGCGCCATCTTAGAGCATTTCTTCAAATAGGATGTAGGATCATGTGGAACCTCAATTTGAAGCTCCTTATGAGTACTTAATAACCGTAGAATAAAAAATCGCTAATTTTTTAAATGGTAGATTGGTGTATAGTGTTTTGTACATTAAATCGCTTATAATTCAGCAATCAGTTTCAAATATTCTATAATATGTTATATCAAACTTCTACCTTTACGAAGATCTATCAAAATATGTAACAAAATGTGAAACAATCCATTTAATAGAAATCAAAATGTGACAGCTTTTAAACAGAATATCTCATACCTTATTGCACATCCAGACAGGGTATTTGGAAAGGGGACAACTAATATCACGTGCATAACGTTTTCATGATTAGTTTTCAAGCTAATAAGCTAATGAACGGTTTAATTAACAAGAACGCCCAACAGCTTGTAGCCTGCCTTCTCAAAAGACAGTAAGCTTATAGCCTAGTTCTATTAAGGAGCTTCACGTTTGCCCTAAAGATTCATGCAACACAAAAATAGGATTAGGACATAGGTATTCATATTTCTGGGCTGCGTTCGTAAATTGTTACACAGTGTACGTTGTACATACATGTTGTACTTGTTCCATGTGTTCGGAAATAGAACATAGTAACTTTCTGAAACCTCAAAGGAGCTCTTTTCTTCCCGTGCCCAAAACTTTGGGAACAAGGGTGTCACTTGTCATTCTCATGGTTCTTTCTTTGTTTAGTTTATTTCGTTATCGAAAAGTGCTCAAAATTGGCAGAACATATATTTTTCACAATAAATGGGATGCCTCGTATATACAGGGTTATCCAAATTAAGTGTCCACCATTAGTAACTTTGTTATTAGTGAAAATACAAAGTTGTTTGAATTAGCAAGCTAGTAGCATTTTTAACGCTGGTAAAAATGAGAAATAAAAAAAACAATTGAGAGTCGTTATTTTGATTTTTTTCAGTAAAATAACATTTTTTTAAATGGAAACCCCTGTATATTATATTTTTTTCTGTTAAAGCATCAAATTTTAAACAAAAAAGTTCATAATGACTTTTCTCCTAGGTTACAAATTGTTGAAGTTATGGCCTCCAATCTGAAACAATTAAATTGTATCGACAAACTTTATTTTCAACATCAACTTATAATCTTACAAAATACAATAACAATTTTTTTTAAAGAAGATGCTCGACAACACCACCTTGTTCTTCAATACATTTTTGGGCACGTTTTTTAACTGCTCGAACTGTCTTAAGTATGGTCCTACCATCTATCTGGGTTATCTTTTCCCTAACTGCAGTCTTTAACGCGTCAAGGTTATCGTACCTTCGCTTGTAAATTTGGTTCTTTAAGTAACCCCACAAGAAGTAATCAAGTGGGTTTAGATCTGGTGATCTGGAAGGCCACTGTATTGGGCCATTTGTTCCACTGATCATTAAAAGTAGTACTTAGAAAATGATAAGTACCTCTGGAGTTGTGGGCAGGTGCGCCATCTTGCTGAAAATACAGATGATGTCTACTTATAAGATCCAATTCGTCTAAGAAATTAGTCAGAATTTCTGACATAAATTCCACATATCTTTCACCAGTTAGGGTTCCCTCATAAAAGAACGGGCCAACAATTTTTGAACCAATTATACCGCACCAAACGTTGAAACTGAAACGGACTTGTGGGCCTCTTGGATGTACTAACAAAAGATTTTCTCTTGACCAATAATGGTGGTTTTTTCTATTAAACATTCCAGAATTTGAAAAATTTGATTCATCTGTCCATAAAAGGTAACGAAAGTTATTTACATTTTGGCGACAGAAGCTAAGATACCAATGGCAAAAAACAAGTCTTCTCTCTGGATCCCCTGCCAAAAGCGTTTGAACTGGTCGGTACTTATACGGAATAAATTAGTATTTTTTTAAAATCCTTTGAACAGTACCATAACTGAAATTAGAGTCCTTGAGAATATCTGCTATTGAATTCTCACGATAAGCTTCAAAATATCCAATAACTGCAATTTCCGTGGCCTCGCTTATTATGAATTCTTTTTTTGCCCTTGTTTTAGCAAAAACATTTTCGTTGCCCCTAAATTTTCGATAAAGTCTCAGAAAATATCGTTCATACGGTTGAATGCGAGCGGGATATAATTCACTGTAGTATTCTCTTGCTCTCAAGGAGGATTTTCTGCACACTAAATAGCATTCTAACATATCACACTTTTCTTCATGGGAGAACATTTTTCTTTAAATTAATGACACAATAAATCTTATAAACAAGTATTTACACTAATGTTTGACATTATTTGATTTTATCATTGTTTTCCAAAGCCTTCTAGTTGCGAGTATGTCCAGTTTAACAATTTGTCGCTTATCTTAATGCTGTCAAATCGCGAACGCCATGTTGTTTTCATAGCCGTCTTAATATTATAATACTGCAAGTAATTAAAAATATTTATCGTTATTTTGACTTTATTTTTGACTTTAGCGGAAAAGTCATTA